ACACCATGTGACCCAGGTCACCCAACGGTAAGTGGATCCACACACCGGGTGGTAAGCAACCGCGACCATTCATTTCCCAAGTGGATCCACTCACCGAGTAACGTGGGAACCAAAAAAGGAACCCATTCATTTCACCCAAGATGATCACCACTCAAGGGACGTGGAACACGGACACTCACCACCACACAAGGTGTTCACCACCATCACCGAAGGGGAAACCATCACACGATGCCCCCATTGGTTCCCGGACTCCTGCACGTACAGGAGAAGAACGACCAAAGAAAGGAGTGGTCGAACTAAGTCACCTTTTCAGTGACCCCAGTCCCAATGGAGCACAGCTCGAACCTTGGATTAGGTCCTTACTGTGGCCAGACTGTACATTGAGCCCACTCTCCCCGAAGGTTGAGAGTGGACCGGTCGGTGACCCAGTCGTTAGCGATCCCATGCATCCCCGGAGGGATACACCTGTCTCACGACAGGACCCTAACACTGTTAGGGAGGAACCGACGGTCTTGTCCACCGTGAGCTTGGCTACCCACGATGAATTTTGACCGTTAGCCAACGGGTTGCCCCATTGACCCCTCCTCGAGACGAGTCCCCAAGTCTCTAAGAGGTTCACCGACCTTGCCTGTTCCCCCGTGTCATCATAGGGTGTTGCTACCCTAGACACAAGGTAAGGTGAGACCCGTCGGTCCCGTACCACGTGTGTACCGATCGGTCCGGGAGAACCCCGAGATACCGCACGATCACCCAAGGATGTGCGCAAACACAAACGAGGGTGTGACATGAGGAGCAACCCAACATGTCAACACACGCCGACTAGGGGGTACGAAGGTACCGTGTCCGTTCACGGTTCGTTAGGGACGGGGGCCTTCAGCAACTCCCCTGCGCTATACCTAAGTTTAACGTCCCCCCGGACCCTCACGGGTCCACCTCCCCCTCTTAGACACATGCCTCTTGGCGGGCCGCAACCTCCGCCCGGGCTATGTCTATGATAGGCACTGGTAATAACGTGGGCTAGTTCATCAGGATCAGTGTCCGAGTCCTCCAATACAGTGATGGGCACAGGGCTCTTATGACCTGAAGCTAATACAATGACCAGGCCCGCGTTAATTTCAGTGAATGCCTCACTCACTAAGATGACTCCTTTGGGCCTACACTCAGCGGTAGTTTCCGCTTGGTACCTTTGGGCACCCGGTGCAGGGCCACGCCAAAAAGGCGAAAACCACGCAGAAGCATGGCCCTACGCAAGCACCAGGCGCACCCTGGGGCGGTACCCTTTCCACACCACGAGTCCCAGGTCAAACCAAGGAGAGTGGATCCACTCACCGAGTGACGTGGGAACCGAAACCATTCATTTCCACCAAGAATGTACAGCGTAAACCGTACACCCCGAATGGACGTGGAGACGGAACCCATTCATTTCACCCAAGATGATCACCACTCAATCCAAGAGAGACCAACTCATGATGCCCCCATAGGTTCCCGGACTCCAGCGGCTACTGGAGAAGACGATCCAAGAAAGGAGTGGAAAGTCTTACCGTGAGGATCAACAGCTGTCCTTTGCACATCTCCGACAACACACGAGATCTATATCATGAAAACATTGTCGTGTGCATACGAGAGCTTTCGTGTCATCACGAGACATCTTCGGCCCACGGAGATATAGAATATATATCTATATGCCAATTTGCAATTGGTACTTGTCTCTGACCTATGCAACAAAAAACTGTAGATTGCTGCTCAGTGCGCACAAAAACAAACACTGCTTCGGGAACAACAGCTTTTCCTTGAAGATGCGCAATTGCACTGACGAAGTCTTGATCTACTGGCGAGATGCGCCGGAGAAGGTTCAGCTTCACCAGGTGGATGGCGAGTTGCACCAACGAAATCTTTCCAACCAACGAGCAACGTCCGAAAGAGAAACAGCTGAAAAGGTTTGAAAAAAATCAGCCAAGGTTTTCTACAAGTCTCTGTCAATAATGTTTTCAGACCTTGCAGCTGCGATCAAAGACTTAGAAATGTCTCTTGACATTGCTTCGGGAACAACAGCTTTACCTTGAAGATGCGCAATTGCACTGACGAAGTCTTGATGTACTGGCGAGATGCGCCGGAGAAGGTTCAGCTTCACCAGGAGCATGGCGAGTTGCACCAACGAAAATCTTTCCAACCAACGAACAACGTCCGAAGAGAAACAGCTTTTCTTCGGCACAAGTAAGGTTTGATAGAAGTCAGCAAAGGTATACTGCATCTTTACAAAAGTGCTTTGACACAGCTGTGATCAAAAGACTCAGAAATGTCTATAGACATTGCTTCGGGAACAACAGCTTTACCTTGAAGATGTGCAATTGCACTGACGAAGTCTTGATGTACTGGCGAGATGCGCCGGAGAAGGTTCAGCTTCACCAGGAGCATGGCGAGTTGCACCAACGAAAATCTTTCCAACCAACGAACAACGTCCGAAGAGAAACAGCTTTTCTTCGGCGCAAGTAAGGTTTGATAGAAGTCAGCAAAGGTATACTGCATCTTTACAAAAGTGCTTTGACACAGCTGTGATCAAAAGACTCAGAAATGTCTATAGACATTGCTTCGGGAACAACAGCTTTACCTTGAAGATGCGCAATTGCACTGACGAAGTCTTGATCTACCGGCGAGATGCGCCGGAAAAGATTCAGCTTCACCAGGAGCATGGCGAGTTGCACCAACGAAAATCTTTCCAACCAACGAACAACGTCCGAAGAGAAACAGCTTTTCTTCGGCGCAAGTAAGGTTTGATAGATGTCAGCAAAGGTATACTGCATCTTTACAAAAGTGCTTTGACACAGCTGTGATCAAAGACTCAGAAATGTCTATAGACATTGCTTCGGGAACAACAGCTTTACCTTGAAGATGCGCAATTGCACTGACGAAGTCTTGATCTACCGGCGAGATGCGCCGGAAAAGATTCAGCTTCACCAGGAGCATGGCGAGTTGCACCAACGAAAATCTTTCCAACCAACGAACAACGTCCGAAGAGAAACAGCTTTTCTTCGGCGCAAGTAAGGTTTGATAGAAGTCAGCAAAGGTATACTGCATCTTTACAAAAGTGCTTTGACACAACTGTGATCAAGGACTCAGAAATGTCTATATAGACATTGCTTCGGGAACAACAGCTTTACCTTGAAGATGCGCAATTGCACTGACGAAGTCTTGATGTACTGGCGAGATGCGCCGGAGAAGGTTCAGCTTCACCAGGAGCATGGCGGAAGCATCAACGAAAATCTTTCCAACCAACGAACAATGTCCGAAAGAGAAACAGCTTTACTTGGGTGCATCAACGATTCAGTATTGATTGAAAATGTTCATGCACGCACCAGTTGACATGAGAGTGTATATAGGATGTGCCAAGCAGTGCAGCACAGCACGGGCAATTACGTTGCTTCAGTTGAGCTGTACAGCCCTAAAGACAAGTGTCTTTGACCAGCTGACATGACAGTGCATGGGATGTGCCATGCAGTGACGCAGCACAGCACGGGCACTTATGCTGCTTCAGCTGAACTGTACAGCCTAAAGGCAAGTGTCTATGTACAATGGCCATTGCGCCCTCCAAGTATATTAGTCGACCAGCACCGTCGCTTGAGCAAAAAAAAAAGGTTCCCCGGCTAGCATGGCAACTGAAACCACATTTTCCTTCAGGGTTGAACAATTATATAGCTCACCACCGTAAAGATACATAAACCATGGACTTTTAATAGATAGGACTATGATTAGGAATCACTTTCCTAGGATTTCTTTATTGGATTGTGATATGCTTTTCTGTATTGTTTTTGGGACCTTGGGCCCCTGGTATATGCCAGAAACTTGGTTCCAAGTTTTGTGGGCTCCGAATCAGCAGTGACTGCCTGGTTGCAACGAGAAAAAACACTTGTACAAACAACCTAAATATTTTACATATAAATATATATCATATGTGTGTGTATGTACTCACTATAAATACATACAGGTAGGAATGTAGGTATGTATGTATGAACATATGTATGTAGGTAGGTAGGTAGGTCGGTAGGTCGGTAGGTCGGTAGGTAGGTGGAAATATATGTAGCTATGTTGGTATGTAGGTATGTCGGCATGTAGGTATGTATGCATGCATGCATGTATGCATGTATGTATGTTGCAGGTATGTAGGTATGTAGGTTTGTACAAAGGTATGTAGGTATGTAGGTATGTACGTAGGTGTGTAAGTATGTAGGTATGCACGTAGGTAGGCAGGTCGGTAGGTAGGAAGGTAGGTAGGTAGGTATGGAAACATGTATGCATGTATGAATGTATGAAGGTATGTAGGATGTATGTATGTATGTATGCATGCATGCATGTATGTATGTATGTATGTGAAAATGTATGTAGGTTTGTAAGTATGAAGGTATGAAGGTATGAAGGTATGAAGGTATGTAGGCATGTATGTATGTATGTATGTACGTATGTATGTATGTATGTATGTACGTATGTATGTATGTATGTGTGTATGCGTGTGTGTGTATGTGTGTATGTGTGTGTGTGTTTATGTATGCATGCATGTACGTATGTATACATATACATATGTATTTATGTATAAGTATTTACTTGCACATCCATTGTCATTGGTGTGCTCTACCTGGATACCTGTAAGTGTGTGTGTGTGTTGCATTGCCCAACTTATGTGGCTGGCCATATTTGGGTGGAAGGGGTTGTGCAGATTTGCCCGCTCGTACGCCCGCCTTTTCAGTGCCGCTGGCATCCAACCAATTGGGGGCTTTTGGGGCCCAAAAAACACGGAATGCTGGATTTACATGTTAATCATAAGTGTGGGAAATCATACATTAACCCAAAAACTTGAGTCGAAGGAGTGACGAAAGCAGAGTAGCAACACCAACCACCAACACCACAACCACCTTCAAACCCCGCTCCATGCCAACATGGGCAATGTGGCGCGCACTTCCTTGAGAGCCCGGGCTCTTAGTTTTTTCTTTTGCTCAGCCTTAACCCCTTCAGCTAGCTGCATCCCGCCAGCGTAAACCTATGAAAAGAAGGTAACGTTGGAAAAGTCTTTCCATCATTTTCGATGAATGACAGCGGATACCAATTCGTTTCAGGTATCCCAAGAAGGACTCGTCATTGAAACAAGCCATCAACTTCAAACAGTTAAGATGTGTTCTTTTCACATCTTCCCCCGTATGGTCCATATAGTGGTGTTTCGGCCTCATTTTGTACAAACGCAACCCATTCTTCTCACATTGGCTGGCAATATGCTGCCAGGAGATCAGGTGGAGCTCGAAATTTTGGCTAACATCCTTGCAGGGTTGGTTACTGGCTAATACCCACATTTTGTTGGAAACCTAGTGAAAACTAATTTCCTAATTTCAAGAGCACGATCTTGAAATCACCCCAGTGTTGAAAACATTTTTTTGAAAACCTACTATATAGGAACACTATCAATTTGAGGGTTATATTTCTATTGTATTGACCCAGTGTGACCTTGAACACAGCACACGCAGTCGAAAAAAACAATGAACCACATTCCTGGGCGTCACAGGCATCCAAGACCAAGTCAGCATGGTCTAAGACATAGACAGCAGCATAGAGGTGCCAGTGGCACGTAGCTATTGGCTTCAACAACTCATCCTTAATGAAGAAACTAAATGGGAAACAGCGATGATGAGACCAGGAAAATTCCAAATATTTGCTGTCCCCAGAAACCAAAAATATGACCAAACTTGGTTCGGCACAACCCCGGTATATAAGATTGTGGCTGGAAGAAATCTTGTACCGAAGTTGGTAGATGGTTTCCCCCACTATCATCCCATTATTTACATAGTCTTATGTTACCGCTAGTTACCCAGCGGCACAAGATTTCTTCCATCCACAATACTTTCATGGGTTCATGAATTTGCTCAAGATTCGTGTGGGTATTGCTCAGCTATGTCTATAGCTTTCTTTGCAAAAAACCACAGGGCACTCTTGAGAAATGCAGCCTTGAAGATGGACCCCAATTCCGGGAAGTGGTTTCCTTTGTCTAAGCCCGTGTTGGCAAGTGTGAAGCGGGTGAAACCAACCCTGATCCTTAGTGGCCAAAGACTGATACAGGAAGAATGGGGACCTTGTACTCCGGGAATTTGATTGTACCCACTGTGAACTTCAATAGATAACTGATTTTCATTGGTACCCACTGTTGGGTTGAGGTAAACCTGAATCTTGAATAAACCAGGGTATGGGATGCCCAAAACTAGCCCAAAACTAAACACAACTGAAGCTGAATAACAGTGTCTTTTCCTGACGACATTGGGCCCTGAGATCTTCTGAAAATTGACGGAGTCTTTCAGAAACATTACCTGTCCCAAAGAAATCATTGCGAATCCAATATGCAAGCGATGACGCGTAGAGGTCTCTGCATACCCCCAAGAACACCATGTGCATGGGGTCGTGGAAAGCAACTTTCAAGTGCCAGCCGCTGATCACCGCATAAGGTGAAGGCTTCGAGGATCGAAGGTAGTCTGAATGGCCTGAGGAGGCCAGACTGGCACAGAGAACTGGGGTGTTAATCTTTGTTGGGGATGTAGCTATGCAGTTTTTGTTGGAACGTGAAACTCCCCCCTGTGATTCAAAGGGATTTGTCATAATATTTCTGGCAAGATGCTTGAATGAAAATCAATAGAAACCGATACATAGGAAACAAACATCCTTGGAGACTGGTGGTAAGTGGGATCTCTCTCTCTCTCTCTATCTCTTCCCCTTCATGTCTTTAATGCGTTTCACTCACAACATGTTTGAAACAGTTTCGGGGTTAGCTGAGATATTGGTGTCAGGTGGAGTCTCTCCTCTTCAAGTGGGACTTTTCCTTACAACACGTTTGAGTCAACTGAGGGCTTGACTGATTTGGGTCATCCGGTGAGCTGCACTTCGGTGGAATTTTTAGTAGTTAAGCGCTGGAACCCAGTTTTTGTGAAGTCTTTGCGCCATGCAACGCATGCAAATCAAACTGTGCTGATAGCTTCGGGTAAATGCGTTCACTTCCTTCCTAGCTTTCTCATCAAAGCGAAACCCAAAGAAACAACCCTTCCACCCATTGGCCAGCTGCTGGCCACCAAGCTTAGCCCTCTCACCGAGAAGTGGTTCATCAAATGCACCTGTGAGCGGAGCAACTCCCGTACTGGCACAACGTAGTGACCATGCCAGCACCTTCCCGACAGTTGCGTGCACATGCGCCTTGACACCCTCATCCAGCATGCTACTGTGAGGAAGAACCACCACTGGAAATTTGGAGTCAAAGACATGCTCTGAACTCAACACGGAAGCCATGCTCCAGCACAAGTACTCGCTATTGGAGTAAAACTCTGCTCCATCGACATGAAGGGCCAATGGCAACATACCTGCTGCCAATGGCAAGGTTTTTATACATGCATCATGATACCCAAGAACCTTGTAAGGTTAAAAACACAAACAATACAAATTGTTTAGGACAGCGACATGATATAGCCAGGAAAATGGAAACAACACACGTTTTGATCACAACAAAAAGAATGAATTGGAGCATGGCACAGTCATAGGTTTCAGGGTTCTGCAGGCATGGATGGTGTGCCCACTCTTCCAAGCCAACACAATGTTGCCAGAATCGCTTGATACTTGCCCTGCTCCGGTGTCCAGTCATGGATCGTGCAAACTGCAGGGTGGCCCAAGACAATAAGTTTTCACCAGCATACCCGAACTCTAAAACTTTGAAAGGTGATATATATATAATGTCTACTTGCTCGAATTATATATATATATAATTTTTCCAGACCCAAAGCCTGCAGTTGCCCAGCATTGGACAGAGCGTGTATCACTTCATGAGGAAGAAGAAATGGGACATCTACCCCAACTGGCTTCTCTTCCGAAGGAACCTGTAGTCAGCAAATCAATTGTATGAACAAAACCGCAGAGCACCTCTACAATTTTGAAATAGGCCAACAAAAACGACCCACTTGAACCCCCCACATCAACACAGATATGCTAAAGCCTGAATGGGAAACATTGAGGAACATCTTGACCTTGTATGTGGTGAGCTTCAAGCCGAACAGTGAATGTAGCCACTTGTGCAAGTCACGCTCCTGGTTGGAACAATAGCGCCCTCCAGCCCCCAGTGAGGCAAATGATTCCAAAGCCTCAGATGGAATCCCATGGGCCAAATTAGCCCGTGCTAGGTCACATACTTCAGCAACGTGCGCGCGCCCACTGCCAATCATGCCTTGGCATGTGCAACTAGGGTACATCCCAGCTAGGTTTGTGAACATATAAACAAAAAACACCCAGAATCATAAATGGGATGGATTGACGAAGTAAACAACGTTTGGTGAAAATCTAAAATCATAAACTGGGTGACAGATCCAACTACGGTGAAAATGTGAAACTATAGGAAGGGACCCATGCATGTTGACACAAGGTCATTTACCAAACAAACCGGGGCACGTATGTAAGCTTCAGCTGTTTCGCTTCGTTGGAGTTGGTCAAGTGGCACTTGCCTAGCGACATGCAGCTATATGTCAGTTTTGAAAGATCCCACTTAAACTATATCTCCGATTTGGAAAATGAAACCATGGTTAAGAAATCCCTGGGGTTAGGCTATACCATATTTGAAGACCCAACAAGTGGCAATGACCCGGGAAGTACAATGACACATTCTCCAAGAATAAATATTTTGAAAGATCGGAGCTTGAAGTGCCAAAACCCTCGTGGATAAATCACCGAAGTAATCACATTATCCAATCAAATGTTTTGGAGTCCTTCCATGAGAAATCACAGTTTAAAGGGCCAACCCCTGGGGAATGAATCCTATCCCATATCTAATCTAAGGTTGTTTTCCCATATCTAAACTTGTTTTAGCTAAGTGCGATTAAGTACAAACACAGACTCCAGTGAAATGATCTGGAATGAATCCTTCCTTGAAAGAATCCAGCCAGTTTAAACGCTGAGCCCCTGGTAAATCACCAATATAAGTATCCTGTATATATACATATAAATATAAATATAAATATATATATATGCTATAACATATTCTGCAATCAAACTCCGTTTAAATCATAGATTCCTCAGTCACCATTGATTGATCGAACTGCGGAGCCTAGCACGATGACGGCCATTGGACTTCCAACCTGCGAGGGAGCATGGCTGAAGGCCATTGTGGTATAGGATAAATTCACAATGAAAGACAATACACTTAGGCAATGACATCAACCATTACCAATCTTTCTGTAGGTCACGACGGATAACAACCAACATATCTATCGGCTTGCATTCCTGTCATGCCGCAACTCCGGATCATTAAAAAACAATGGAGTGCCCACTAAGGGCCCGAAAAAGTTATTGTTAGATGATCCTATGTAAGAACATCAATAGTGGGGGAACATCCCAAATAATAAACCACTGTTACCACAATCCTTTTTTGCGGGTCACAATAGATACCGCCCCAACCAATAGAAATACTTGTTTTGTGTCTTTCAAGACAGGCGACAAACATTTTTGGCCCCACCGCTAGGCAATGCTGTATTGCTTGATGCCGGCACCCTTTCGCAAAAAGGCGCATTGGGGGAACATTCCGAGTAGGCTACATACCAAGTTGACAAAATTTTGATTCAACCTTGTTTGATAATTGGATCTATTTGGGCCATTCCCACCCCTGCGCCATTGCAGCCCCGAAGAAGTGGCATCCATCCTATCACTGCCAAGAGTGTACCATATTTATGTGGGTACGTCGCTTTCAAATCAGCAGCGCTTTCTCATTTGGTAGCCAAAGGGATTGATGCTCCAAACGCAAAAACAGAAATGTTTGACATTTTGAAACCTTAAGTTTTGATTTGAAAGCCATTTGAAAGTCACTTGTTTTATATTTCATTTCGCACTCCCTTGGCTTCTATCCACTCTCAAAGCTGCTAGATCCTAAAGACAAAATTTTGGTCCAGTTTTGACCCTGAGCTATTGACTTTGCGGCTCAGCTTTTTGGAGCTTCTTTTGAAGCATCAGCTGCACCTGACTTTTCCTGCTTTTCCTTCCTCTTCGACACCTTACCCTTCTTTGGCTTACTACCCAATCCGTTCTGCAAGGCTTTGGCTGCAGACTGGCACGTGCAAGGCTTGGGGAAACCCAAGGCCACAGGGTGATGGGTTGAAACACTTGGATATGGGGCTGGCTCAAATGTTTGGTACCCAAACCTGATAATTTAGTAGAGGCAGAATGTTGTGAAGGTTCCAAACCGGATGTGAACCCCAGGTGCATTTAAGGTGTGATATGGTGTCTTAAAAGAACCAGATTTGAACTACTATGGGATGCAGCTGGTGGATATACTAAGAAAACATGGATTGGATTACTTGGGGGCGCATGGGGGTGCAGTTGGCACATTGAAAAAACAAATGGCCATAACCCCAATAACCTATGTCAAACAAGACCGTTTCCAATTGATTTCAAAACATGACACCGCCAGTACGAAGGAAAGATCCCCCAAGCTAATGCTTCATGACCGCTGGTTTGACTTTAACTTGAGCAGGGTTCTGAAACCCTATAAATTCACAGAAGTAATTCAAGGGATGGGCGACAGTTGTGAATTGTTGGCAATGCTTTGTGATGAAACGTTGGATAAAAGAATACACAATAGAATTATATACATAGAACTACCAGATGTTGGAAGATTTGACTTTGTAAACATTCATTTCTTGGGGATTGATTTCAATATCCCCAGACCCAATTTGAAATTCACTACCAAAAGAAGATGGCCTCAGCTTTCGCATACCACGCCAACTTCTCTTCGATGATGTTGAAATGCTTGTTGTAAAGCTTGGGATCGGTCTCCTTCTTGTTTCTGAGCTCTTGAAGGCGTTTGAAGACTTGCTCCATCTTCGACGAAAATGCGAAGAGCTGCTTCGCAAGGTCCCCAGAATATTCGAGGGATTCAAGGGCAATTGCGAATTTCCTGCCTTCAGCTCCTTTCTTCAAACATTCTTCCATTTTGGCAGCTGCCAGCCTAAGTACGGGGAAAGAAGGCATCACTCCACTTCCATGAATTTGTCCAATTCTTTCATGGCTTTTCCTCATCGAAAGAACTGTATAGTAGGATTTCAATGGGGGACAAAAGCCAAACAATCCAGATATGTGACATCGATAATATGTCAATGGGCACTCAAACTTTGGTAGATGAAGTAACTGCATAGTACAGAATCAAGACCTTACCGGGTTCTAGTTTTGATTTTTTTTATCAGACTGAGTCATGGACTCATCCAAAGTTTGCGGCACAGCCTTTTCAGTCTTCTCAGAACTTTGGCCCTTTCCCTTCTTTGGTTTCTGAACTGTTGACGCATGCAAAGCTTCAAGCAAATTTTTCTGACCCTCTTCGGTGGCAGCTTGAACCTCTGGCTGGAACCCAGAAGCCAACACTCCACCCTCAGGATCGATGAGAGCTTCCGCAAGTTCCTGGTTGCCTTTGTCCCGGATGTTCACCGAGGCGCTCTCCTTGGTGAGATCGTCGGAACGCATCTTGTTGCCAGCGTTGATGTAGTAGTACACTTCCTGCAAAGGCATGGGGGCAACACCATGACAACCGATTTTATTAAGAAATATGTCACACAGTTGTGAGGAAAAGGCATATGTTAAAATATGTTGAAATCACCTTGCTGAGAAGATTGGGTTCAAGAGTCCTTTGGTCAACAAAGAAATTTGATGGATACTTGGTGATACCCTAAACGATTCCATTCAAACTTTGATTGCTTGAAGTGGCCCAACCCACCAATTCAAGCAGTCCTCATCATCATTCTCAAAATCAGGGTCGTAGTACCACAGACCTTTCTTTTTGAGGTTGCTCATGAGGGCTTCGGCTTTCTCCTTTGGATACTTCTTCAATATGTCCCTCGCTTTCACTCCCTCTCTTTCCTTTCGGTTCAGGGTCACTTTCTCCGCCTTTCGCTGCATGACCACTTCAACCCTTAGCTGCGAAGCAGTTTTGAAGCAGTAGAAACAATAGAATGGTTTGAAAACACTGCTGTTCTTTGTGAATCTCACATGTGTAGGGATGACCTGAACAGCTACAGGGCTCGCATAGGCTTGCATTTGAACTTGAACTCATTAGTGATTTGTTGTGCAACTTTTTTTGGGTGGTTTTGGAGACAAACTCAGATGTAAAAATACCTTTGGCTAAGTCGAAGATGCTTCGACCAATCTCCAGACTGTTGTAGCCACTGCCTAAACAGGTCTGTCTTGTCTCGAAGATAGTGGGCAGCAAGGGTACAAGGAAACTTTTTCCGGTCGATGCACTGGCGTGAGAACTTGTCCCACTCTGCCTTGTGGGTTCGGGAATTTGCATTGGCATATTGGTCAGCTGGGGCTGGTTCTGTTGGTGGCTGGGGCGGGGATTCTTTCTGCTGGATGGCAGCCATGGCCACTTGGCTCTGACCGGTGGGTGCTGCAGGCTGGGGTGCCACTGGTGCCGCTGGTGTGGCTGGTGTGGCTGTGGGTGCTGCTGTGGGTGTCTCAGCTGGTGCTGGCAAGGCAAGCTGCTTGTCAATGCCATCAATGACAGCCTCGTCCTCCTCATCCATCTCCTCTCCATCAAGATCCTCATCAATCTCGCTGTCATCCTCTGAGACTTGGGAACCATCATCTCCAGACTCCCCCTCGGAATCTTCAGGGTTCTTTCCCTTTGTCGTCTCGTGTTCACCATCATCATCCTCGCTCTCTTCCGACCCTTCTTGATCACTTGAATCACTGGAGTCAGAAGAAGAATCTTGTTCTTCATGGTCAGCCTTCTGCTCAGCAACAAGTTTTGCCATGTGTGCCTCGAGATTGGCTTCCAACTCTTTCTGAGACACCTCCTCCATGTACTGCTCCAGGGAAAGACCTCGCTCAGTGGCTTCCTTTTTCCATGCATGTAGGCTTGCCAAAGAAACTGCAGGTGAAGCGATACCTGAAGCTTGATCAGGAAACAACTCCTTGCAAGGTGAGGGTACTGTAGTCTCTGAAGGAGTCGAAGAGATGGCATCTTGAGGCTTCGTTTTTCCTGACAAACGGCGAACTGGCTGGGCCGGTGGTTGGTCTACATTCTTGGTTCCACCTTCTGTCTTCTTGGTCTTGCCATGTTTCTGCGACACCTGTTGAGGAGTCTTCTTGCCACGCTGAGGAGGATCTGTCTTTTCCTTCTTTGCTTTCTTGGCTACATGGGTTGCATTGGTAGGTGGAACTCCCTTCCTCTTCTGACTTTTCTGACGATCTGAACAGATCTTCTCAGCCTTCTCACACTTCTTCTTTTCTGCCTTGGTCTTAGCAATAACCTTGACCCTTTTCCTTTCCGCCTTGTCTGTCTTATTGTTTGACTTTGCCATGCCACCACACCTACGTCACTCACCAAGACCGCAGGTCAAAGCTGGTGGAGAAAAGAGCACCAGGACAGACCTTACAGCCTGAACCACTGCTCGTGGCTGCAGGGGCGGTTGTGGCTGAAAATACATACAAATCGCGGCTGACTACAAGTCGTGGCTGAATACTAATCGTGGCTGAATACCAGTCGTGGCTGAATGAAGTGGAAAAAATGATAAAAACAAACTGTAATGTGATTCTTCTGTTTCTCTGGGGTGCTTTTGAAGCCTAAATACAAATCGTGGCCATTCTCACCAAATCGCGGCTGAATTCTCAACAAGTCGCAGCTGAATTTGGAACAGGTTTGGAAAAAAGCAGACAATTGTTTTCATAGATTGTTTCCACCTTCAATCCTGCAATAGTGGGAACTTGACAATGTTTGGGACAAACAACATGATTTGGATCGTAGTCACATTCAATATAGACTGTTGCATGTATATATATGGTTTCAAATACGAATGGTATCCTGAGATCTAGTTGGGATTGCTCCATATTATAGATGGACTGCATTCTCAGCTGCTTTATGTCACTAAATGGGATCATCCACGAAACCCGGTACCGGGCGAGGTGGGTGGCGCACCTTTAAGCCCCGTCTTGAGGACAAGTCGCCCCATTCCAAGTTGGGCCTGGCATGGAAGCCCAACTGTGATTTGGTCTGATGGATTAGGGATGTATTTAATTTGTCAGGTTATCACAACTAAACATTGGACCTGTTCATTTCGGGTTCCTATAGGATTGTCTTTATCCCCTCAGCGAAATAAACAATTGTTTTGTTCAGGTGGCCCACATGCACAGGGAACCTTGATTCTATTCCCCTCATCTTTTATATCCCTCACAACTTAAATATATATATATATATTCAGAATATTTTCATGTTTATAGTTTTTTTGATATATATATATATATACATTATATGTATGTATATGTATATCCAGATATGTATATATATATACATATATCTGTATATACATATACATATATATATATATATCGTTTTCACGTATATATATATACATATATATATATATAATATATATGTATGTATGTGTGGGTTAATGTATATATATATGTGTGTGTGTGCTTTTTTGATAAATATACATATATTTATATACATATATGTATGTAATAATGGGGTGTGTAAATATATTTTCTTATGTTGAACATGTTTTTTATGTGTTATATCAGTGTGATATATTTGTATATATTTACATGTTTTTAAGTAGTAAGCTATACAAGTACTTGTGCATATGCTCTTTGAAATTAGAATATATGTGTATATATATATATACATATGTATCCATTTGTGAATTGTTCATTTTGGGGTCAATACCGTGTGGTATTTCATCCCTCCATAGTCGCTATGACAAGCACTGGTATTACGATACAAAAAGGCACCCACAAGTCACCGCAATGTTTCCCCATAATTTGCTGGGAGCTTTAATCCGATTTCCCTGGTACGAGATCATAACGTGAAACATCGGTTTGATATGTGATTTGTTTATGTGGTAGCCCATCCCAATTCATCATATTTAACACATGAGTGGATATAGACCCAACAAAACTTTGGGACCTTTCACCATATGCATTTTTTGGGTACAGTATCCACTGCATCAGCTGGTTAAATCCACCTAAACCAGACTACAAGCCATTTTGTCGCCAGCACACGGTATGAAATACCTTGCAATGCCTTCACGTGTGGGAACCAGGAAACCCACACAGGATGCATTTGGGCACACCAAATGAATTTTCAAGTCATATCCCCTTTTGGGGCTATGCAATAAAATCAAAGATTGATTGAAGCTCGGCATGTTTGACCCACATGGCATCCTTGCGGGTGGAGCGAGGAACAGTGCGATAGGTCTTCACATTCTGCTTGATGGTTTTCACCGCCTGGGCCTTGATTCGGGCCGCATGGTGACTTCGAAGGCGTGCCAAAGCAATGCCAAACCTTAGTCATGAAAGGCCATTGGGGTTTCCTAAGGACCAACCCTTTGGAGACATTCAGTTGAAATTCAATCATACAAGCCTATTGGAGATACCTGACAAATGAGGAGCTTCCATTTTAGAATCAACAATCGAATTCAAGACTGACCATGGAAAACCAGGGGGCGGTAAAGGGTAGGATTGGCTCATCTTGAGATTCTTGTTGCCCTTGATCCTCTGACGCCCACTTCCATCCGTGTAGCGGTCAACAAGACTCACCTTGTCCTTCTTGGTCTGGAACAAAGGCCTGAACTTCTCGAGCTCTTCGACTGATTCTTCGCCTCATGAAGAGGCAAACAAAATGGAAGGGAAAGGAGGGAAACTCATGGCAACATGGCAAACATTTTGGACATTTCAAGAAGTGCTCAAAAGAGTCACCCGCCGGTAAGGTTTGGAAATTCCAAGCTCTGCCCGCGGGTGACTCTTTGTTGGCTGTTGTTTTGGAGAGTTTTTGTTTGACTCAGGATGCTAGATACCCAGTTGCAGTACTGTACATAGTTGTGGTTTTTCTTTGAAATGCCTCTAAATGGATCAAATCCCACTCGAACCAAAATGAAATCCGATTCTATAGAACCAAACTTCATCTGGTCGAGCCATGTCACTCGAATAAATCCATGTGGGTTTTTCACTCGGGCTTCCATAAGCCCCCATAGTGAAGCGATGCCTCCACACATCTAGCAAGCGCAAGACTTCCTGGAATAGTGGATGCAGTTCCATCCAGCTTCCCTGCGGTTGCTCAAGTAACCACCACACATTCAGGCTGGCAGCTATTAAGATAATCACCAAAGTTCTGGAAGCCAACAAATTTCCTTGCGCCACTGATGGGTACTTGGTCTGCCCGAGTGGCTGAGCGTGACTTCTCTGACTTGTACCGGATGACCTGCAGTCAAAACAGTTATCTATCTATCTATCTATCTATCTATCCATCTATCCATCTATCCATCTATCCATCTATCCATCTATCCATCTATCCATCTATCTATCTATCCATCTATCTATCTATCTATCTATCTACCTTTCTATCTATCTATCTTCCATCTATCCATCTACCTACCTACCTCATATGTCCCCCAGAAACTAGACTCAGCTTTGCAACCCACGGGAGATTCAAGGGTTCCAGGGCTCCAGGGAACAGTTCGGTTTTTTTTTGGTTTGGCAAAAAAGGGATTCAGCACTTCCAAACCCGCAAAATTGGATTGAAAATGACACATAGCAACCTCAAAAAAGGTGACTTACTTCTAACATATGTTGATGTTTATTTTTTCCAAACAAGCCATCAAACATTTTTTCATAAGTCCAGCTGCATGTAAACAAAGCTTGAGCATACTGGAGCTGCAAGTAGACCTGCACCAACTCGGAGACATGTCGCATGATAGCAAGCAGTCAAAAATCCAGTGGGTGTGGTCAAGTCCATGGTCACCGGATCGTGGGTGATGTCCAGGGCGATGGAATCAGTGCGGCCCTCCTGCACGAGTCTGGGCGCCCAACCTATCTTTGTTTTGCACTTGGGATGTCTACTTGTGTATTGACAAGCACTGACTTTACTCTTCTAGGTTCAGCTAGTATTGTTCTGGAACTGTTGTCCTGAAATTCTCCGCGGGTGACAGAGCATTCCCCAGCAAACAGCTCCAAGTGGGATATCTCATGGGATGGTCCCCACTGCAAGGATGGCATCGCAAAGATGGCGTTGACCAACATTGCAATTACCTTGGGGCATTAAAACTACGTTGCAACATCTCCAATGGTACCCCTTTCACAAACTTCCCATGTACCAAATTCCACCAAACCTTGTGGGCCCACAATATGAAACACCAGTGGTTTTGCTCATATGATTGCATTTATATAATAACGTGGGGGTTCTTTATTTCGTTTCATTAATACTTAAAAGTTATTTCTTGCATGAAGGCTTCAAAAACAATGGTGTTCCTAGCAATTTTCTGGTTGGTTTGGCACCCCAAAAAAAGACCCCAGCAATCCACCAAATATGTAGGAAAACGATAGGAAAGATGCTATTGGGAATAGACTTGTGGGGGCCTTTTTTTGGGGTGGCAAACCACCAGGAAACTTACAAGTTCCAACACCTTTTTTTGACAGTGGGATTTTAAGCTAAATCCGAAGGTCAAAACAATGTTTTGGAACTGACAATATTCCAACATGTTTCGACGAGAAGGGGAGCTGAAGGTTACTGTTGTTGGGGGTGCCCACACCACCATATCATCCAAGACACCGCCGGAGCTTTCATGCATCTCAGGCCAGCCAAAATGGCCTTCCGCTTTACTTCCTTGAATGGAAGCGTTCCAGGCCGATCGCCGATCGAAGGGGTCTTGGAACGAGCATAGCCCATGACATGCTCTTTCCTAACACATCGACCTCTCTTGGTCATGCTGGGCACCCTTTGGAAGTAGCAACTAAAGTTCGAGCTTTCTATTGCTACAAGACATGTTGCAAGTGTTTACACTCATGAAGATTGTTCTGCTATTATCCCTGGGAAGAGACCTTTGGTTTGATTTCCAGAAAACTTTCTTGAGATTCCCAAACATGAAATACACCCCACCCAAGAATTCCGAAGTGACTTTCCTATTCTACAATAAACTTTTGGTGACTTCAAGAAATTTCAGCTGGAGCTTTGGAAACACCTATTCCTCCTATTCTCCGATGCTGGTGATGAAATGTGTTGACAAAAGGATGGCTCAGGGGTTTGCTTTTTCACCACTGAAACATATTGTGTCTTTCCTAAAAGTAAAAAATGGAGGGTTTGTTCAAATCGGAGACTAGGCATAGATGCAAATCTGTTTCCTACCCTTCTCGTTGCAGCGCTAACGGTTGGCACTCGGCAAATGCCAATGCATGGCAAGATCACTACATCTAAAATCTAAACTACAGATGCTTTGCATCCGGTTACCCATCAAAACATTCGCATAGTTTGGACTTATGGAATGCCCCAGTCAAAACTTCACTGGCAAGGCCATAGACTCTAGGGAGCAGCCGGGCACAAGCATGTGCACAACATCGAAGAAACTCAAGGGGAGAGTTGTGGAATAAAGCAATAAGCAAATCAAGACTTGGTTTATTTCTTTCCAATCCATTACACACTAGCCTGAGCTCTAAAGCTGCCATCCCAGGAAGATAGCCAAGGATCCCCAAGGGCCTTATTTGGCACCCCAAGAATCCGAAGGGTCTAGGGCAAGATCCCCGCCTTGCCACAAGCGGTGATCCATGCCGACACAATCCCCCCATGCTTATTCCATGAGACCTGACCCTTGTTGGGTCCCCTCACGTAAAAAGCTTTGCATTTCAACAAGCATTCGATCTTCTGACCGCCCTTCTCAATGGTATAACTGTGCTTTCCCAAATGGCGCCGGTTCGGGCTTGGGAGAGCGTTGCCTCAGGAGCAGCACCAATGGCACTTCTGCTGAGCAGGACTCGGGACTAACCATAACATATATAGCTAACCATAACCCCATTATCATAACTAACAATAACTAACCATAAATAACCAGGACGAACCGTAGCCAAAATATAGGGTGAGCAGAAGTACATCGCTTCAGAATACAATAGCTGCACATCTAAAAACTTGGAGGGCCAGTCTGTTTGGGGCCTAATCCTCATTGCCATAACTGGGCATGATCCCCATATCCTAAAATAAGCTTTTTGGCACCACCGGGAAACAGGTTTGGACACACATAGGCCCAGATCGGGCTCCATTTTGGGACCATTATGGCTAAGCTAAAAATAAATGCCAAGTGAATGCCCATGCTCTGTTTTGGGATCGCTATGGAAACAAGGAACAATCATTGTTTGTGAAAAGATTTGAAAAGACCCAGATCGGTCTCAGTTTTTGGGGCTTTTCCGATTACTGAGAAACCAAGTTCCAGAAAAACACTGTGGAAACATTTAGACGCCACTTCTTACAAATTTGGCCCGTGTTCAAGACTTCTATGAAAAATACTATGTTGGTGTGGGGCCCACAACTAGATGAGCTTTAGGTTAACAGACCTTGCAGGATATTGACAAGTCACGCGGCACCCCCAGCTGGGTCAAGTTGTACTCATGGTACATCAAATCACCCTGGCTCGGGCACATTTGTCAATGGGGATAACGGGTATGATGGAAAATATCAGCTTCCGAGATTCCAAAGATTTGTAAGACTATATCCTGAATCGGTGACTAAAATGGTGATATACGCATGAAGATGCATATATAGTTTGAAAACTCTCACATGAAAACAGTGAATGCTTGCTATTCATTCCAACGACGTGCATGCATTCCGATGGAAAAAATATGAGGCTTATTTCCCTCCTAGAAAAAAAGCCAGGGAAACCTGCAGCTCAACCGTTGAGATTTTGTTTCCAGTTTGGTTTCGCCAACTGTTTTTTTAATACATTCAATCGTTCATACATACATAAAAACAGAACATAACATAACATAACATTACATTACTTTACATGACATTGCTTCAGATTACATTACATACATACAAACAAACACGTGTATATATATATGCAAAAATACACATGTCTATGTATGACTGTGTATGTGTATACATACATATATATATATTAACACCCACAAATATGCAAACATGCGCACATCTATATACACACGCACACACGCACATGTGCATATGTATATATATATATATATTGTATGTATATATACTTAGTCAGTGGGTTCCCTTGCCCAAAAAAGTCTAATATTTCAACACTCGCTGGGTCAGTATATGTATATATATATTATATATATATACATACGTATGATGGCAACTCTCAAGACCCACTTGCAAGACAGGAAAGTATACTATCTAACCGATTTCATATAAATATCCATGTAGTTCCCAAGACCCACCTCTAACTGGTCAATCAGATGTATGTATAAATATATAATGGTCATGATGGTGATGATGGAAACTCTTAGTACCCGAATCCAGTCCAAAATTGGAAACGATTGGTCTCCACTGAGCAACACACAATTGAATTTGAAGGACATTTTTGTGTGTATGATTCAATGCTAAAGGATTTCAGAAAAAGCCAAGCAGCTGGCATGTCATCCGCTGGGCCACCATCATGGCGTGCCCCAGGAGGACCAGCATCAGGAAGCTCACAACGCTCAGCATGCCCAGCCGACGAGGCCTTTGAGCGACCATTGCGACGGTGGAAGGATGCTTTCGGATTGGGTTTCTTGCCATTCTTGTTCTTCTTCGACTTGACATCAGCCTTTGGATTGACCTGTAGCTGGGGCACAGTGGTTTGGATTGTTTAGTTAAAGACAAAGAAAGTGTTTCGTGCTAAGACCTTTGTGGGAATGGGTGTGCATCTTTTAATATTAAAAACTAAGATTTAAGATTGGGTCTGGAATCTGGAATCAAGATACCTGGGGGCCCACGTGAGGGGCCTCATCAGCCAACAAGTCATGTGCCACTTCATTTAACCAAGTAGGGGGATCCAAGGGTGGCATCTTGACAGACTCCACGGAAGTAGGCTTCGTAGGCTTCTTCGTGTCCACCCCCATCATGCCCAAAGCTTCATAAAAGTTGTTCTCATTCAAGATCTGGTTTGTCGTTTCTCTCCATGATTTCCTCTGGGCTTTGGAATAATTCTCCCAATGGGCCGACTCACATACAGTATCACCAGAAGAATCCGATGATGTCCCATCCTTAGATGATCTTAGATGGTAAATTATGCTTTGCCCTGTATGCACCCATCCCATTTAGTAGAACCAACGAAAACCAGGGAGAAAAGATTAAGTTATGAAACAATGCTTTTCCGTGAAGTTTTTTGCATTGATTTCTGAATCTTTTCTTGAATATTTTTTCTTGGAACTATGTGTTCTTCATTGATTCTTTGGTGAAAGGAACGGAATGACACATTGCAAGCAGGCCATCAGCAAATATGTGAGCGGCCCAACCAACCCCGCCCCTTCCAAACCAAGAAACATTCTCCATGGGCTCCTTCTCGATAACGGCAATGGGCTTGGACAACCCCGCACCCCCACCCATCTTCATGTTCTTCTCCAACTTGCGCATCTTGATAGAACTCTCATCAGGCACTGTTGTCGCATGCCGTTTCGGCGGTGGCGTGACCAAGGCAGAAGCCTTCTCACCATCATGATCACCGGAGTCATCTCCACTGGAAGAGGAATCATCTTCTGACTCATCCTCATCAGGAGGCGTCGGCGGCATCGGCCCCACATTCAATGCCCTGAGGTTGAACCCGTGCAACGTGTTTCCACTGGAATCAGCTGCGATGTTCGGCACATCATCCTCGGCCTCACTATCATTCACGCACTCATCCACACAGGGCTCAGACTCTTCTCCGCTCTCCCCCTCTTCCAGGTCATGCAGGTTGGCAACATCAGGGACGGCACCACCATCTGCACCCATGACCAGCGTATCATCATCATCACGGCATGGGGATGCAGGAGGGTTGGCAAGGTCACCCCCCGGGAGCAGTGCAGGTTCACCAGCGTCATCACTTCTCTCAGCCTTGCAAGGGGTTCACAAACTGGTTGAACTCCCATGCAATTTGACTTTCGAATTCAAAGGTTGGAAAATTATAGAAACATTGAAACCAACTCAACTGCCCTGAAAAACATTGAACACTTTGTGAGTAACCATGTGTTTGTGACAACAGCCGCCTCAGCTTCAGCAATCGCATCATCAGAAAATCGCGCAAGACGTTGAACCTCACTGTTTGTGCAGCTATAAGGTTTGACTGACCCCCCATGGGTGACAGCAGTATGTGTGTGCATATGGTGGCAGCAATACTCTAACAATAATTTTCTGCTTGCTGAATGGCACCTGCATGAACATATTTCTCATAAACCCAGTTTTCAGTTTAAACAATCTCTATAAATTTAGTACCAATTGGCTACAGATCAAAATTCCAAAATTACAGTGAAGAAACCCTGGCGCAACGTGGCGACGGTTCCAACATGAGCTTGAGCTCGGTGACCCGCGGGGAATGACTGGAGTCGCCTCACGCCAAAGGGCAAAATTGGGCCACATGTACAATGGGGAAAAGGGATGACAGGGGCAAAACAATTTTTTGGTAGACACTTGCACTTGCCACTCCAAAAAAATATGCTTTTTCTTCCTTCCAAAGCACTGTTGCGCCATAGGTAGCGCAAGGCCCCCATAAGCCGCTTAAGGCGCTTGGCCTCATCTGCAGCTTGTGCCACCTTCTCAACTCCCGGCTTGCAAAGTAAGTTGCCCCCGATCAAAACATCGAGGTAGATCATGACATCCGTCAAGAAAAGACCTCCAGGCACTTTCGATTTGAAGTGGTGGCAAAGCGGTTTGAGCCACACGTAATTCCCGGCAATCTCCTGATGGACAAATGCGTCCGGAACAAACGCAACAGATTTTCTTTTTCAAAAAGAATCCAATCGCCCACCCTTGCAAAAAGACATGATGGCAGCCTCTTGCAAACTTAGAGACCTTGTTTTTTGATGTTTTTTAGACATTTTTTTTGCAATCAAAAACACACTGCAACCCCTCTCTCATGTGGAATGTTCCCCTTTTTTTTGGACCCAAAAATCCGTCCTTAAAAGATGGCCTGGTTACGTCATCCTCAGTCTTCACCAAGTCGGCGCCCATGAAGCCACTACTCCGGATCAGGCTCAAAGCGCGATTGGGGATGCTGTTCAACATGTCCAAGGCCACTGTAGCCTCGGCACCGGGCGGTGTACAGCAACTTACCTGATTGAATATATTTGTGAAGATTGATGTTAAAAAACACCAGACATTCCAAACATTCCAAACATTAAAAAACGGGGCGTTGCAAGTTGAGGCTCCCAACGAATAAAACATCAATGCTTTGAGACTAGCGGCAACCAACTGCTCGTCCCAATCGATCTTCCCTGGGCCTGGGCTGTGACAATTGAAAACATAGATATAAGATGGGAATAGTTGATATAGGTCGGTGAGAAGCATAAACATTGAAAGAAATAATTCACATGTACTGACACCAAAATTATTCTGTTTGTTTTCCATGGAAGAAAAACTACTGACACCCAACCATGGGACGGACCGATCGCCAATTGTCACCATGCATTCCCATAGCTTCGTGAAGGTCAGCTGGTAACACTTCACCCTGAACTGGTCCCGCCATGACGCACACGCACACTGAAAAGCACAGCTAAGATGGGGGGGCTGTGCAAACTACTTCGAAACTGCCAGTGCTACAGGCTGCACACATAATCGGTGGCCATCAGTGTTCTCTGCCACACAAATTTTAGCAATGTTTTATTGGGCATCGATACCTGTTAAGAGACACACTTAGGTATACTTAGATGTAGAAACCCCATGTGTCAGTGGGTCATTTTTTTCTGTGTCGACCACTGTAAGCCAATCCATATTTGTCTTTATACCGGTTGTCACGGTTGTCAAGTGATGTCATGGTGGAGTCGAAAATTCACACCACAACAAACGAAAGTATTCAAATCAAATCAGATTCTTGCTGATAGGCCTAAGAAGTTGTGAAATGGATTGGACATGAAACATGACATACAAAAATGGAGCCCTGGTTGGGTTCGGTTTGCCCCACGTCCAAAAGCTTCCCAACACCCGCTGCGCTGCAATTGTGCAGGTGTGGCCGCAAGACGGCCAGTGAGGCTGAAGTGGTTCGGCCTTGGCGTGGGAGCGGCGGCTAAGAACCCGAGAGACTTGACACCTCGTGACAACAGTAATTCAGTAGGACATGTTCTCCGACTCTGGATTTTGATCCTCCCTGGAAACGATCAGTTGGGTGATAAAATTAATTATAAGATATTATAAGGTATATAGGGGTATATGATTTTTATCCCCTGCCATGTTTCGAACACGCCCCATGGATTCATTTTTTAGCAGGCAATGCCGCTACCTATTATAAATCTGAGAATGCCGCCATCAAGTCCACAAGTAATGGTCGATCCACGGCATGGCATCCAGTCTTCCGGCAAGTCAAGTTTCGAGGGTTGCGCAGGTTGGTGCATGGAACCTGCAATTTCTTGTTGAAGATTTGGCTTCATAGGTATCCCTAAATCAAATATCCTTAAATATTGTTTGAGAGTCATCACATCTTGCAATGAAGTCGCAACACTCCTATCATAGAATCATGGCCTAAAGGTTAAAAATCTTGCATGGTTAGTTAATAGATATCATTTCCACTGAATTTGGTTATGCATTTTTTCTCCACTGCTGTTGCGGTGAATGAACCTGTTGGTTGCGGTGTATGGCTTTTGTCTGAAAAGGTATATAGTATATATCCAAACCCATGGATAATGAATGATTCCTATTGAAGAAATTTGACGGGTATGTTTACCCCACTTTCAGACATAACACCACTGTTGAATGTTGCTGTTGGCTTAAATTTCTGATTACAATACATGGCAGGCCAACCGCCATGCACTTGATACCCAAACGGGCTTTGCACGGAGCAGTCTGCGTTGCGAGCGTCACGGTGCCCAGGCTGGTCAAAAAAGGTGTTGTGTGGGCCAACTTTAAAAGTTGGAAACTTTGCAAATGGTGCCTTAAATAAAACGTGGTGCCCCCTCAGCACCCATCCAAAACATAAACCGACCAAGGACCAGGATTCTGGGAGGCCATGGCATACCATGGCACCTCTGCTGAACACCCCAGAGAAATGGTTGAAACCGTTCAGTTCGATTGGCAAATGATTTCCAACATTTTTTTTTGACCTTGCGAGATTCTGGAAACAAGGGTTTCCAAAAACCTGTGTTTTCCTTGTGTAAAGAACCCCGGATTTCAACCTGTCCACGTGAATATTGGTAGATTGTGGGGTTATCCCCTGTGTGATCCAAAAAACACCGGGATGAAGGTACCAATTGGGATACCCTTTCTTTGGGTTTTGCTAGGTACATACATAAATAAGAAGTACATCGATAAGATATACATATATATAATTATATATATATTATTGTATATTACATATCTGCGTATGGGGCAAATCAGTAATATAATGTAAATAAATAAATAAGTATATATATATATGACCAGGTTACCAACCATGACCATATTTTATGTATAAATATATGTACACACACATATAAAAGTTGGTAACCTGGACCTTTTCCTTTTGCTCAAGACGCGTTGGTTCGCTGCACTTGCAGCGCAACTTTCCTTGCAATCCATGAAAAAAACATTGGGTCGCTGTCTGCATGCACTTGCAGCACAAGTTTACTTGCAATCCATGAAAAACACATTGGGTCGCTGTCTGCATGCACCTGCAGCGCAACTTTCCTTGCAATCCATGAAAAAAACATTGGGTCGCTGTCTGCATGCACTTGCAGCACAAGTTTACTTGCAATCCATGAAAAGCACATTGGGTCGCTGTCTGCATGCACCTGCAGCGGCAGCTTTGTGTCTGCACTTGCGCATGCACGCCGATGACAAAGCATGGTTTGTTGCGTCCCTTGGCACATTTGCATGCACACATGAAGCATCAAAAATCTTCATGGACCTCCATGTCAAAGTAAGATGCTCGTGGTCCTACGGAAGCCTCAAGAGCATTATGCAACATACGAGGTGGTTCAGCTCTCGGGCTCCAAACAGCTGTCCAAAGGACGGCTGTTGATCCTCACGGTAGTCACCTTTTCAGTGACCCCAGTCCCTATGGAGCACAGCTCGGACCTTAGAGCCGAAAACAAGGTCCTCACTGTGGCCAGACTGTACATTGAGCCCACTCTCCCCGAAGGTTGAGAGTGAACCGGTCGGTGACCCAGTCGTTAGCGATCCCATGTATCCCGGGGGATACACCTGTCTTGCGACAGGACCCTAACACTGTTAGGGAGGAACCGACGGTCTTGTCCACCGCGAGCTTAGCTACCCAACGATGAATATTGACCGTTAGCCAACGGGTTGCCCCGTTGACCCCTCCTCGAGACAAGTCCCCAAGTCTCTAAGAGGTTCACCGACCTTGCCTGTTCCCCCGTGTCATCATTGGGTGTTGCTACCCTAGACACAAGGTAAGGTGAGACCCGTCGGTCCCGTACCACGTGTGTACCGATCGGTCCGGGAGAACCCCGAGATACCGCACGATCACCCAAGGATGTGCGCAAACACAAACGAGGGTGTGACATGAGGAGCAACCCAACATGTCAACACACGCCGACTAGGGGGTACCAAGGTACCGTGTAAATTCACGGTTCGTTAGGGACGGGGGCCTTCAGCAACTCCCCTGCGCTATACAGTCAGTTTAACGTCCCCCCGGACCCTCACGGGTCCACCTCCCCCTGTTGAGGACATGGTATTGGGGACCCCATCCCCCTACCCATCCTCGGCTGTTTTGTCTTTCCGGGTAGGTTTAGTTGACCCAGGCGGTGAAGAGTCATCGCTGCTGGACGACGCCCGACGAGACATGCGGGGACTCGGGTCTGGTGACCCACCATAGTCAACTTCATCTGCCAGATCGGCACCATAGGTAAGTGGCGGAGCTCGTAGCGGGTCAGCTGTTCGGACAGCAATATGGTCAGCACTATGCGATCTGGACAGCTTCGATGGTGGGCCAGGTTGCTGCATATCCCTGCCCGTGTCCACAGAGCGCGCACGTTTGTGCGATGATGCAATGGGACTTGGCAGTTTGCTTTTGACAACTTTGCTTGGCGTAGCTGGGAGGGTTGGATCAGTGCTCGCTAGCCAAAGTTCTCGTATCTCAAAGAGGGTCACAGGCACACAATCGCTGTCAATCAGTGCAAAGTTGATGGTCGGAAAGAGGAACACACAAGCATCAAGGATGTACGTCCCAGCCCAGGTCGGGTGTACCTTGTGAAGACCAGTGTCAGCCGAAATGTGGACAAAGACAACTGTGGTGAGTTCACCATATGGACCGACATATCGTAGCCGTTCTTTCCACCAAGCAGCGACCATTGGCCAATGGCTGAGTCCAGGCACAGACTTGACCTTGTCTGATTGCAGATCCCGATTGTCCGTCACCAGATATACCGTGTGGTAGGGCAGAAACGCTGAGCTCTGACTAGCCAACCATCGGTACAACTTGTGCCAATCCGGTCCAGGTAAGGCTTCGCTCCCGTCGACCGTGGCAATTTCATAGTCATGCCGATCCGGTGCAGCTGTCTTCTTATGGGGGTCTCCAAATCGCCAGTGCTGCTCAATCGATACATTCAGCCCGTATTCAGTCGAAATGCTCTTGTGCTGTTCAATTGCGTAGAGCAAGTCCAAGAAGCTGATATTTGGGTTCTTTTCATACCAAGACTTCGTAACCTGTTCTCTGGAAAGCAGAGACATCACACTATGAATTCCTGGGCAACTGATTTGGCTGTAGAGAAGAGGAACGGGGGAGGGAGGGAGGGAGGTGTTGAGAATCCTGACACGTCCTTGGTCAGAAGACTCAAGCACACCAATTGGAAAAAACAACAGAAAAACCGACAGGGAGAAACAAAGAGAAAGACAAACAAATCAGGCAACAGAAAGAAAGGGCCAACAGCACAACACACAACCAAACCAGACAAACGAAAAAAAGGGGGGGGGAGGGGGGGGCAAGTGTTGAAAAACCTGACACGTCTTTGGCCAGGCAGTTCAAGCACCCAGAGCGCAAACTTGAAGGATCAAATCAAATACCCAGGACACTGAGACTTAGGAGCAATGGCTAAGCTAGGCAGCGCACACGTAGTGAGCGAAAGAGGTGAATCAGGGGGAGGAAGCAGGAAGAAGAAGCTGGAAGCCCTGACAGTCTTTAGTCAGAGAATCCAGGCACGAGAGAGAGAAAAGAGAAGAATGGGAGAGGAGGTGAAGGGAGGCGCTGGTAACCTGGCACGTCTTTGGCCAGAGAAACCAGACGTCAAATGGAAGGGAGGGAGAAGCAGGATGAAGTGAAATGAGCAATGATGGATACTATCGTGGAATGTGGTCCCAATGCACGAAAGATCAATATGTACTTTGTTGAATGGAGAAGAAGCTGTAGCAATACCCTTCGCCCAATATCCGGGAAGTTGGCTATTTCAATCCCTTAATGTGGTTAGGAGGAGCTGTATGTCCCTTTCCTGGAACTGAGCTAAGGGCAAGACTGGCTACGACTGTCTCTTGAGCCGATGGGATCGCAGG